GGGGGGAGACGTTCACACCTTTCCGACCAGGCCAGAATGCAGAGTGAGGGGCTAGCTCTCCAGGAGAGGAGGGACCTGCAGACACTGACCCCAAAGTGGGACAGCGGGCTGTTGTCACATGAGAAAGCCACCTCTGGCGGAATGGTGGGGTGCAGGAGTGCCGAGGGCACGGAATCCTGGCCAAGGAACTGCCCCTCCTCGGATGCCAACTCTAGGGCAGAGGTCCTTCCTGTTGGTGTTACAACTCAACCCATAGCACCCGGAACATCACTCGGCACACGCTCAGTGCTCAGGAAATATTTCTTGAATGAATAAATGTGATAGAGCCGGGAATGAGTGACGGAATGAGCGCGTGAAGGTACAGCATGTGGCGTTCCAGATCAGCGACGTGAAGATGAGCTCTCGTCACCACTAGAGGGCGCAGCACCACCCAAACGCGCGACGGGATTTAACTGCAGGCCCCCTCCGCCCCCGAAAAGTTTCTGGGACTTCCCCAGAGGCCTTTTCCCGTGATTTTATGAAGACTGGGGATTTGGAATGTGACATCTCCCACTGGGTTGCACCCTCATGCTTACTAGCATTGAACTGTGTCCCAGCTCAGACACCTCCGGAGACCTTCCCCCTCTAACGTGACCGGGTGCCGCCATCTGTCTCCCCACCCTGATTTCTTCCCTTTATAGCGCTGGCCACACGGGGTCTGAAGTCATCGAGCTTATTATGTGTTCACCTGTCCAACGAGCAGATGAGCTTCCTCTTTGAATCACTTTGCTATCACTCCAGGGCCTCCCACGGGTCTGGCACATAAAGAATCCCAATAGCAAAATAATGAAACGTCCTTTGGTTCCCAGGAATCCCTGCACTCACGGCGTTTGGAGGCAGAAGGGGCTGGAAGCTGGAAGAGAGACTTGGTCCTTTAGGAGGAGTGGTGGTGAAGGGAACTGGACTCCCACATGGCCAACCATGGTTCAAGTCCCAGATCTGGTGGCTTACTTTCCCTCTTTCTTTTTTTTTTTTTTAATAATTATTTATTTTATTTTTTATTTATTCATTCATTTATTTTTTAATTTGACCAGAGAGAGACAGAGAGTGAGAGAGGAAGTGAGAAATCAAGCCACCAGATTCAGGACTCAACCCCAGTCAGCTATGTGGGAGTGTCCAGCACCTTAACCACCGCCACCCGCTAGTCCCCCCCTCTTTCTTTCTCTGTCCCTCTCTGGTCAAATTTAAATAAATAAAATACTTCATTATTTAAAGAAAAAAAAGGGAGGAACATAAGGAGGTGGGAGTGGCCGCTCCTCTCCGAAGGGGGCCTTGGGGTGGGGATGGTTTCTTTTCTCTGCTCCTACATCACACCCCTCCCCCTCTTCTAATCCTCTGGGGTTTGAGTCTCCCCATCTGCACAGATCAGAAAGAATAAAAATCTTTTCCAGATTTGGGGACGAGTCATATGGGCACTCCTTGTTCCCCATCCCAGATCCTAGAGCACTCAGGGCCCAGGTAACTTCCTTACCCCGGTTAGAGCCAGCTGGGACCATGTGATGCATCAAACCCATATTTAACAGATGAAGAAACTGAGGCCCCAGAAAGGAGAGCAACAAAGGAACCTACGGAAAATCAAGGTTCGACCCAGGTTCTTGATCCCCATGATGCAACACCGTGTGTGGCGCCCCCTAGTGCCAGGAGGTGTGCTCATTGCCTTTTTGGGTTTATATCCAAAAAGTCGTAGTGAATTTTTAACTTAAAAAATCATTTAGGGGCCAGCAGGTGGTGTGGTGGTTAAGGGTGTTGGACTCCCACTTGGCCAACTATGGTTCAAGTCCTGGACCTGTCGGCTTTCTCTCTCTCTCTCACACTCTGTCCCTCTTTAATCAAATTAAAATAAATAAAGTAATAAAAAATTATTTTAAAAAATTGTTTATTTAATTCCATTTGTTATTATTTTTTTTTTCAATTTCACCAGGGAGAAAGAGAAAGCAAACAAGCTGCCAAGTCAGACTTGAACTATGTCAGCCACGTAGGAATCCAGTGCCTTTAGCCACCATGCCACCTGATGACCCCTCAATTTTTCTTTTTTTTTTTTTAAGAGAGGTTTTTTGCTACAAGGCGCTTGCGCTTGCTGGAGAGACAAAAAGACTGAAAATGAGACATCATCCCCCAGGAAGGATGACCATGACACAATTCCTTCTCCTCCATTCTCTTGGGATCTTGGGCACACAGGCACACGCACCTAGTGTGAGTTTTAAGCCGCTGGATCTGGGACTTGAACTGTGGTCAACTACGTGGGAGTCCAGTTACGTAACCATTACGCCACCTGCAGATCCCTATGTGGAATTTTCAGTTGACCCTGTAGCATGAGGATGTAGAGACCCAATGGAAAGGGCTGTGGTAACCCAGCCTGTGATGGATTGTAGTCAGTGGCCACAGCCCAGGGTCGACCAAGGATGACATGAACTGCCTTTCCAGGTAGTAACCTCCCCATCACATGGAGTGAAAAAAATATCTAATGCTTTCATACTAATGACAGGCACTATTCTAAGTGTTTTATTATTATATTAAATATATAAGATTATATACTGTCTTAAGTATATTACATGATTTTATTATTATATTATTACTTTAGATATAGTAAACTCAGGAATTGCTTGCAGCAACCCTCATCGTGTTAATCTCACCAGTTTACAGATGAGAAAAATGAGATATGGACAGGACGTTTAACCCAGTTGGGTCTTCAGAGTCTGAGATTTCTCTACCACCCAAGTCATCCCTGCCTCCTTCATCAGAATCTCCAGAGGTATTTTGTTAAGATGTATGTTAGGAATACCCACCCGAGTGGTTTATCTAATTTATTTGTGATCAATTTTGTACATGTGTGCAAGAGAGAGGAGTCTCCCACAGAGTTCAGTCACACACAGTCCTCTTCCTCCAGTTCCAGCCGGCCAGGATCATGTGCACCTGACTGGCGTGTTTCAGACCATGGGACCCAGACCTTGAATTGTGGTCAGCGTGTGGTTTCTAGCTCCACAGTCCTCACGTCACCTACGGCTCCAATAAACTAGATGGTCTTAGTCTTTCAGTATTCTTAGTCTTTCTCTCTCTCTCTTTTTTTTAAAGATTTATTTATTATTTTTTCACAAGAGTTTTGCCAGAAAAAGACAGTGGAAAAGCAAGACGCTGCTGGCCCCTCCCCCCCTTTTAAGGTATTTGCCATAAGACATATATATGTCAGAGAAAGAGAAAGGAAAAGTGAGAAGTCACCCCCCAGGGGGGATGGTCACACTGCAGTCCTTTCTCCTTTACTCTCCTATTGAGATTTTGGGTGCACACACACACATGCCTGGTGTAACTTCTCAAGCCGCTGGGCCTGGGACTTGAACTGCAGTCAACCATGTGGCAGCCCAGTACCCTAACCACCAGTACTTTTAGTCTTTTACAGTGCTTCAGATCTGCTGACTCCTTGGCTGCTCTGTTACAGTATGATTATGGGCCAATTACTTACCCTCTCTGAGCCCCCTGATCTTCTTAGTAAAATTGACATATTATAAATACCTATT